AGAATCTCTACGGAATAGATAAAATCTGTACACACGAAAATTACTTCATAATAAATAATCACTAAAGAAAATGTAGTATCTAATAATCGTAAATATCAACCACCGAATTTCTGATGTTGAAATTTTTTGCCGTCTTGATGTCTATTATTTTATTCCGATAATTAAATGTGCATGTAAACATATATAGTTACGTGGGCCACTAAGAAAGATTTTAAAAATTGCAAAAAATGTGTCACGATACTTACTGAATATGAGTGTGTTATGCGATAGAAAATAACCCTAACTGATCGGACAGGGTTGTTTTAGTTGCAGAATCTTTCAATATTTATAATGAATAAGAAATAAATTCATGGCCTACATAAAAAAGAAAATGTAATTGAATGAGGAAACTTAATGTAATGCGGCATGGTATGCTTTACGTGATGTCTGGCAGTAAGATTCTCGAATGGCCGCCTCGTGTGTAAGCGAAGTGTAGGTCTATGATGTAGAGGAGGTTGATTGATGCAGGTGGCTCAGATGTCATTAATGGGCATTAGTTCTCAACGTTTAATTACATTTAATTATTATAAATATGTGCCATTTCGTTCGATAACTTGTTGATATCTTATACAATCCCGTTGCTGTACAAATTATGATCAAAAATGCGACGGTAGTTTTGACAGACCTATCTTAATGTTAACCTAACACTTCCCAAAGAATTTTTAAGAAACCGGAACTGATAAAAATCTAAGGAAGCAAGGTCGGGACTATGGTTGATGCATTAAAACTTCCCAACCAAGCTCTCTCAATTTTTGCTGAGTAGCCAAAAATGTGGTGTGGTCTGGCATTGTCACGATGAAAGACCACTCCTTTTCTGTTGATCAATTCGGCCGTTTTTTCTCAATTTCTTACTGGATCCTCATTACTTGTTAGCAGTAGAGATCCAAGTCGATGATTTTCTCCGGCAGTAAAAGCTCATTATAAGCGATGGCCTTCCAATCCCACCATACACACAGCATCACCTTATTGAGTGTTAATACGAGTTTCTCTACAGTCTGTGGAGCTTAACTACACTTTGATCATGATCTTTTTCGCACGTTCTTGTCGTATATGATCTACTTTTTATCAAAAATGATGAATTGTTTCAAAAATGGTTAGGTTTCATAACGTTTAAATAGAGAATCGCAAATGAGTACACGTTTCATTAAGTTTCTTTCACTGAACTCGCGTGGTATATCGAGCTTATTTGTCATGGTTATGTCGTAACCACTAATATGTCCATCTTGCTCCACTTTGTCAAAAATGGCATCGACTTTATCCTTATGAGGGCGACCAGAACGAGCTGCATGTTTAACATCGAAATTATCGGACTGAAAATGCTTGATCCAACCTTGTGCTGCTCTTAGTGACACTGCATTAGGTCAACGTCACGTCACGCGACATCACTTCCACGTCACAAATTGTTTTCGCGGATTAAGTCAAATTTTTCCCGATTTTGTTATAAAACTTGACAATTTATCGAATTTCTTCGTTAGATTCAGTCACTTTGGAGGACAAAAAACAAATAAAAAATGGCGGGAAATTGTTCTTTAATTTTATTTTTCTTTTTATTAATCTCCTATACGTTTTGATATTAAAACCAGCCATATACAAATAGTACAACCAAAGAGATTTTACCTCAATTTTATACAAACAAAATACGAATAAACCTATTCCCGACATATTATAAAGAGAGGAGAAGAGGAGTGGTTACGCTTTTTTATTCTGCAGATCTTCCGCGGCCGAAACGTGGTCTATCGCTGGGGATGGAAAAACCAGTACTCGTTTGAATAACGGAATTAGTACGGTGCAATCAGTGGAGTGATAAAACGGTAAAGGGTTTTAGGCTTCAGATTTTTTTAAAGAAGAATGAGTAAACGAGCATTCGGCTTACCTGATGGTAAGTGACTACCGCCGACCATGAACAACCGCCACATCAGGGGAACTGCAGATGCGTTGACGGCCTATTAAAAAGGAGTAAGCTCTTTTTTTGAAGATCCCTAAGTCATCGTTCCGGAAAAATTGCCGGTGGTAAACAATTCCACAAATAAACTGTACGAGGAAGAAAACTCCTAGTAAAACTCACAGTGGTGACCGCCAAGCATCCAGATGGTGAGGATGGTGCGTTCGTGAAATTTGGCTAATGGAATTTATCCGATATTACGTCGTGCCAAGAATTTACTTTTGTTATTTTAAGTCGATTTGTGTTTGTATAAGTGCTCAGACAATTTCAATTTTATAGCATTTGAATATGTTGTGATACTTCAGTTTCTTATTTTTTTTGATAATTCCTTTGTTCCTTACATGGAATTATTCTGAACGTGATAATTTACTGCTTAAGACTCTAGAGTTCACAATAATTATATAGCTGGACATGGACTCTGCATATTAGAGAAGACGACTTAAGTAAAAAAAGACCATCAATATTACTATTTATTTACAAAATTACGTACTTTTTACTTTTATGCTTTTGTCAGTTTTACAGAGACCACATCAGACACACACAGCAGACGACGAGAGTTTGTCAGATAGGCATATTTAGAAGCCTAAAACTACGGAGGTAACAGCTGTTATTGTGCACATGATGGAATGATGAAACTAAAAGTAAGTTTATTAATGTGTTCCTGATTCCTTATATTTACGCGAATACTACACATTGAAATAATACTAGTTTTTACGGAATTTATCGCGTATATTTAACTTTTTATATTACACATTTTTATATTACAATTATGCTATAACTCCACGCAGATTACCGTACGAAGAAATTATCTGTAGTGTCGAGGACTGTTTATTTAAAAACAAAATGCGGAAAGGAGATTTGGAGGCGATACGTCAAGACATTTCGTCTATATTACGTCGATGTTCAGTGCCTAAACCGAATCTTCCCAAAGACGAATTTATTGCGTGGTTCTGTAAAGAACCTACGCAATAAAGCAGAACTTACGATTCTCCGCGCAGATAAGGGAAATGCCACGGTAGTCATGGATACGTCAGATTATAATTCTAAAATACAAGAACTTTTGTCGGATGTAAGTACTTATAAAAAAGGTTAAAAACGACCCAACAAATAGCACACTAAAAACAACTAGTGACCTCATAAAGAAACACTCGGAAAAATTAAATCTGGATGTAAAATGGATAATACCTACGTGCGCCAAATCACCAAAGTTGTATGGGTTACCAAAAATACACAAGCCCTCATTACGTCCCATAGTGAGCCAAATCGATTCCCCAACTTACAGATTGGCTCAACACTTAGCGAAAATACTCTCACCGCTCAGGGGACACACAAGAGCACACATAAAGGATTCCTACCATTTTGTTGTGAAGCTGAAAGATTAAAGACCTACGTCTGGCAGACAATGAAACTATGGTCAGTTTTGATGTGCAGTCATTGTTTACATGCTTACCTGTTGATGACTGCATCTCAATTGTAACTAAAAGGCTGGAAGAAAACAACATGCCCGTAGAATATGCAGTATTACTCAGACATCATCAGCCTTACATCTGGCTACCTATTGTGGAAGGTGTAGTTCTACAAGCAAGTAGATGGTGTGGCGATGGGCTCACCTGTATCTCCCATTGTCGCCGACATATTTATGTAACACTTTGAGGAGAAAGCCCTGCTTACTTCTCCCATAAATCCAAGATTCTACAAGCGGTACGTAGACGACACTTTCACAATTCTACCTTTAGATAAAGTAACTGCATTTTTAGACCATAAATTCTAAAATTCAGTTCACAATGAAGTTAGAGGCAAACAATTCCTTAGCTTTTCTAGATGTGTTAGTAATTCGGAATCCTGATAACACCTTGAGCCATACTGTGTATAGAAAAAAGACCCATACAGATAGATATTTAAACGGTGATTCTCACCACCATCCTTCACAGTTAGCTACCGTGGGTATATCTTTGTTTCAGAGAGCACGAGGGATCTGTAACAGTAAACTTCTGGCTGCCGAGCTCCAACAAGTCAAGCAAGTTTTGCATGACAACAAGCTTCGGGTCCCGCGCCTACGTCACAGAGAACGAGTGAAGCCGGCCACAGTCGAGCGTGTACCTGCTGTACTGCCATATGTTATAGGAGTCACTGACAAGGTTGGCTACATCTTGAAGCGAGCTTCCATCAAAACATACTTCAAGCCGCCGAAGAAGATTGGTCAGTTTTTACCATCAGTCAAGTGTAACGTCCCTCTGCAAGATGCAGGAGTGTACAAGCTTGATTGTGAATGTGGTCTCTCTTACATAGGACAAACTAAAAGATCAATTAAAACCCGCGTTAAAGAACATATAGCTGATGTGAAGAATCGACGCTCCGGGAAGTCTGCAGTCTGTGAACACGTACAGGATCGCCCCCGTCACTACATCAGATTTGATAGACCATAAATCCTCGCTAAAGAACGCCGATTCCTTCCAAGGATGATTCGCGAGGCTATTGAAATCAAAAAACATTCTAATTTCAATAGAGAAGATGACTGGGTGCTACCATCTGCTTGGGATCCTATAATAAATAAAATTAAATCCCAACCCAAGCATACAACTGCATTTTCATGATACCATAAGTTCATACTGTGTAGATCGGAACAAAAGTTAAATTTTAATCTATGGTAACCGCGGTTGACTATGACATCTGGACGTTGAACATCTCAGTCCTTCCCGTGACCATGGGTGCTGTAAAGCTCTCAAAACGTCGGGTATTTAAAAAGTTAAATATACGCGATAAATTCCGTAAAAACTAGTATTATTTCATTTTTTTTAAAATAGCAAACCATGAGATTGAAAATCACAATAGCGAGAATTTTCGTCTGAAATCAGATTTACAGAAATATTTGAAGATCGTAGAAATCTACAAAAGCTTAAACCTTACAGTGAATAAAGAACTTACACCGCGATCTGGACGAAAATGCAAACAAACTCGAAATATCACTGTAACACCTGTAACAAAAAGCATACAGGTAATGGCGCCTTCAGCACGAATTATGAATAATGAAGCGACAGTTAAATCAGCCGAAAATATACCTGAGGCCGAAAAGATTCCAGAGCCAGTAAACGAAGATTGTTCGACACAGAATCCGAAGACACAGCCGCAAACATCTAAACTGAATATGCCACTAAATGACACAAAATTGACTCCACTGAAAAAAACCTCAACACCAGAGAAGGAAATCGCACCTTCGATGAAAGTTACTACAACGGATGTTCGTAAAGATATCAAACATAGAAAATTGTACGTACTAAGCAACAGCACTCGAAGAAGCATACTACAGGCTATTGAAGACAATTTTGCAAGTGACTTTATATACTGTAATTACTCTTCACCAAATTGTAATATAAAATAACTTTTAGCTGGTATAAAATCAAAATTAAGATATTTTAATATGAACGATTACTGTATAATTTTATAAGGACAATTATATTAATTTAGTAAAAGAAATTAACGATAGTTTAACACAGGTGACCCATACAAATATAATAGTATGCACACCCACGTATATACGGGGGGCACCCATACATAACTTTAAGGTTGAAATGTTTAATAGTCTGCTCTGTATGGACCTACAATACCATAAATATGCATACTATTTTGATTCCAACTATGACCTTACACTTGACATGTTTTCATACAAATCAGACAGAATAAATAGAGCAGGAATTCAATGCATATTTAAAAATATAATGAAAAGAATTAAAATTGACTTAGAATTATTCCCTGACCTACCCAGTGACACAAGCGGACAAAGCTCACAGTTTTTTCTTTTTATAATAATATTTTAATTTTACACCAAAATATAGCAGGTCTTATAAATAAATCTGACACTCTGATGGTACATTTAGAAGAATTGGCACAAAATAACAAAGTTGTAGACGTAATATGTTTAACCGAACATTTTATGACACCCGACCAAGAGAGCATATTTGATATACCCAACTTCCGCCTAGCAACAAGTTTCTCAAGAGACATAAAGAGAGGAGGTGTCTGTATATTAACTAGAATTGGTCATCAGTATAAAGTATTAAAAACTAATTGTAAAGTTAAAGGCGTAATAGAATGTAGCGCTATAGAACTAAGTGATCATGGACTGATAATAGTTTGTATAAACAGGGTGCCTAATTCTTGTATAAACGTATTTTTCAATAATTTTGACATGTTATTACGCGAAATATGTTATAATATTAATAATAAAATTATTTTTTGCGGCGACTTTAATATAAATATACTGAAAAAAAAACCGGCGAGTGCTAGATTTAAGTCACAATTTAAAACTAGAAATTAAAGAGCCTACTAGAATTAGTAGTAACACATGTCTTGATAACTTTGCTCACAGTATTCATAAATGTAAAAGTGAAGTTAATGAATTTGGACTATCAGATCACACAGTTCAAATTTTACAATGTCCAGTCAAAAAAACATGCGTGATAAAATCTCGGCGTATTAGAAGACGTGATTGTAGTAAGGAAAATCTCATAAAATTCAAAAATTGTATGAACAACTTAACTTTTTCTAATATTTATTACACAAATGACCCTATCGAAGCTTATAATCGTTTTCTAGACCTCTTTCTGTGTTTTTATCATCTATGTTTTCCATACAAAATAATAACTAGAACGTTACATAAAAAGTCAAAATGGATATCAAAAGGTATCAAAATTTGTAGTAAAATGAAAAGAAAATTATTATGGCAGTATAGGACAAGATCAAATAAACACAAATTCAAGCAATACGCTTCTAAGTTTAAAAAAATTATATCACAAACGCAAAAGTCACAAAATAACTACAACATAAGTACATCACAAAATAAATCAAAAGCAACGTGGTCAGTTATAAACAAGACTAAATTTAACTTTCCCAAAGAGCCTATTACGGAAATATTTAACGACGATATCAAAATTAGAGATCCTATATCTATTGCGAATCATTTTAACGACTTTTTATTAACCAAATAAAAGAATGGGAGCATAAAAATAAATCAAAAAATAACGACCTAACACACTCAAATCCGAAAATTAATACTAACGTAAATTCAGTTTTTCTTGTAGCTACAATGCCTATGGAGGTGGATAGAGAAATAAAACAACTGAAAAATACTCAAAGTATGGGTTACGATAGTGTTTGCACTAAAGTTATAAAGTATGTGTCCTTGTTAATCGCTGCCCACTTATGCTACATAATAAATTTATGCATTTCTAACGGAATATACCCCGAAAAACTTAAAACTTCTATTGTTATTCTACTCCTCAAAAAAGATGACAAAAAATATGGGAAACTATAAACCGATAACATTGGTATCTATTTTTTCAAAATTATTTGAAAATGTAATATATAATCGACTATACAATTATTTAGAAAAATATAATATTTTGGTAAACGAACAAAAAGGATTTCGCAAGGGTAAATCTATAAATATAGCTATTTATGACTTAATTAAAACGATTTTAATCAGTGTGGATAAAAGAAATCCGATATGTGCTGTCATTATGGATATGAGCAAGGCTTTTGACCGTGTTGACCATAAGATACTTATTCAGAAACTTAGCTGGTATGGCATAAGAGGTAGTGCGCTAGACCTCATTTATTCTTATATGTTCAATAGAAAATAAATAACAGAAATTACACAAATATGCCAGAAAACACGAAATGAAATCAAATATAGATCTAACACTAGAACCATAAAATTCGTAATCCCACAAGGTAGTGTCCTAGGTCCCTTACTATTTCTGGTATATATAAATTATCTACCTAGACATATTGAACATCCAATGGTACTTTTTGCAGATGATAGCACAGTAATGATAAAATGTGATAGGTAAGACAATTACAAAAATGAAATCAATAAAACATTAAATACAATAATTCAATGGTTCCTAGAAAACAATATTAAAATAAATATGGAGAAAACAAAAATAATGCACTTTTATCAATGAACACAACCCATAACTAAACATGTTAGTTACCAAGGCAATACAGTACATCCAGTGACAAATACAAAATTTCTAGGAATTAATATTGACTATTACCTATCATGGAAAACACATCTAGATAATGTCTGCAAAAAAGTTAATCAATCCTCGTTTGCTCTTTACAAACTCTCCAAGATTGTCAATAAAGAAGCCGTTTTATTAGCCTATCACGGACTTGTTGCACCTATCCTAAGATATGGTGTAATATTTTGGGGCAACTCGGTAAATAAAGAATCTGCATTCAAAGCTCAAAAGAAATGCATCAGAGCAATGTGCCATCTGGATAATACTACAAGCTGTCAACCATACTTAAAAACACTTAAAAATTCTGACATTGCCTTCGATGTATATCTACGAAATAAATCTATTTGTGAAATCAAATCCAAATTTTTACAAGACTGCTTTTAAAAGCTACTATAGACAGTTACGCGACAAAAAAAGATTAGACATAGAAATACCGTATGGAGATACAGCACTACTCAATAAAAGTGTTCTTTGTATGGCATCACTGATTCACAACAAACTGCCAGATGATGTCAGAACAACTTTCTGACATCATCTGGCAGTTTGTCTATCTCACGCCTATCTCACGATTTAAGACGATATTACACAAATTTCTGATTAATAAATGTTATTATAATGTCAAAGAGTACTTAAAGGATAAAAGTATTATAATTTAGTAGCAATAGTTTTAATTTAATTGTAACTTAATAATAATAATTTGAATTTAATTATAACTGAATAATAGTAATTTATACATTTACCTAATATATGTGACACATTGTAATAATTTAATAAGATTAGTATATTAAATTATAATTTAACTTAAATTTTGTATGACAACATTGTGGATTTGATTATTCGTATTATCAAAAATATTTAATTTCGAGTTTATATAACATCAAGGTATTTAATATGACAACAATTAGCACTGTAGACTCAACTATTGACAATATTTTTTTTTATTCTTAATTTTATTTCAAAGCACCATTATTGAATTAGTAATGCGTAGACTATATTGTAAAGTATTTGCACACCTCATAAGGTAATAATACAGTGTACATATTCTATTTTTTTTTGTAACAACTCTTATACCTGTATTATGCAAATAAATGAATTTGATTTGATTTGATTTGATTTGATTAATGTGTTCCTGATTCGTTTCGACGAAGTGCAAGTTAAATTTTTTTTTTAAGTTAAACTGATTGAGATATTTTTTGCAACCGATACATTGCGATTACAATTTCAAAAATAAGTTTAATAAACATTTTATTAAGTTTTTTTAGGAATCGGCAACGTCCACCTGATGGTGTGGTGCTGTGGCCAAAAGTTATGAAAGCTTGTAAAAATAAATAAAACCAGATACATAGTGACATGCTGAAAGCTAAGGCGGACACCGCAGCATGAATTATTCACATGGAAAATTGTTCGATGTGGTCCGTGTATATTCAATAGTCAGCATACCGTAAGCGCGTGCTTGGAATTATTCAAATATTAGTATCAAAAATTTATCTTTTATCATCAATTAGTTTTGCTACTATACTTTTACAGTAATCAACTAGATGTTTAGTTTCAGAACTACATATATAAATACAATATTGTATTGAGTCTGAATCATTTCAAATGAAGTAAAAGAACTTAATGAAATTATTTGTATCGCACTTAATTTGCAACTCAAACTTAAAATTCACTAGAGATTTTTTTCATCATGAAACGTTTACATCACTTTAAGAATTCATTAAATTAAAATCGTTTATTGAGAAACAGATAATTACACGGGGAGAAATAATATATACTTTTTGGCAAACTTTTTCCTGAGACGTCAAGGACTGTCACTAAAACTTCTCGCTATGAATTTTCTGTCAATCCAATAAAATGCCGAGCTATTTTAGTCGGTTACCAAAGGTTGCTCACTAAGATAATCATGCGACTTTACCTCATATATCAAGGGTTGAGTGATAAAACCCCCATATGTAACAAAAATTGACTATCGATCAATTCAATGTTGAAAGTTACATTGCAGTTAAATGAGTGTAGACAAATAAGTTATATTGAAATTAAATTTTTTTTCAACGAGGAATAAAGTTTAAAAGCTCTATATTTTTTTATAAATAGACTAATAAATAAGAATAATTAAAAGATGTGTAGAAAATCCTCAATTTTTAGGTTTGAATGAGTCACCTTTTTACATTTTGCTTCTGTTTTTGCGTTGGACCTATCAATCCAAACACAAACAGTCGCGTATATCACTTCATTCCGTTTGTTTACCAGTATTGATCGGGATGAAATAAGAAAGACTTTTCTGGCAACTAAATCTAAAGCCGGCAATTGAAGTGTTGTTAGCAGGGGCATGATTGCCAATATATTAGAAAATCTTCTA